GCTATTCGGGGTCTCTTCTGGTTCCATACAAACTTTAGGATTATTTGTTCCATTTCTTTGAAAAAAGTGGATGGTATTTTGATGGGGATTGCATTGAACCCACATGGATATCCTTATTACTAAAAGAAACTCCCTTTCTCTTCTTTCCATGGTCAGTGGCCTCACCCACTGCTGCCCCACACTCCAAGGCTCACACACACAGGTGCTTGTGCAAATGCATGCACACAACCACTAAGACTAATCCGTGGAGAGGCACACATCAGTCCCCCACTCCTCCGCAGCAGAGGGCACTATCGGATTTAAAAAGCAGTCTAATCTACTTTCTTTTCACTAACAATTTTGTCTTATTACTGTCCCCACTTACCTAAATCTTGTTATATATAGCAAGAATACTCTTCTGGAGAAGTAAAAGCTAATCCATATTTCCACTTTTACTATTAAGGGGCATATAATTGCCAATTAGAGTTTCTCAGGGAGACAGTGCATCAAAATAATAAAATATCTAGGCATAAACTGAACAAAAGAAATGAAAAACTTGTATGCTGAAAAGTGCAAAGCATTGCTTGAAAGAAATTAAAGACCCAAATAAATGGAAAGATATCCCATGATCATGTATTGAAAGACTTAATACTTTTGAGATGGCAAAAAACTCCCCAAATTGATCTACAGATTCAACTAAATCCCTATCAAATTCCAAAGTTCTTTCCAGTTTCTTTTTGGATGATAACAATGTTCTAGAAATATATGGTATTGTTGTTTGCACAGGTTTATAAATACTAAAACCCACAGAACTGTACACTTTGAAATGGAGAATTTTATGGTATGTGAATTATTATCTCAATTTTAAAAAAAGATCTGGAAGCTTAACTTAAAAAGATTCAAATACTGTAGCTTGAATTTCAGGAAAATAGAGCCTATTTTCAAGAGATACCATTATGAATAATGGGTTGTATAATTTGTACCGTGTATCAACTTTACTGATGAACTTGACAATCTTATAAAAATATAAAACATTTTATAAACTTCTCAGTAAATTCACTCTTTAAGTGGCCTAAAGAGTTAACTGACAGTAACGCACATAATAATATAGATGAGTCTCAAAATAATTACAGTGTTGGAAATAAGCCAGACACAAGCAAACGCATACTATTTTGTTCCATTTATATGAAGATCTAGAAAATGCAAGCAAATCTTTATTGACAGAAAGCAGATCAGTGGTTGCCTAGGGATGGGATAAGTGTCAGAAGTGTTGGGAGGGAAGGCTTACAACAGGACAGAAAGAAACTTTTTGGGGTGATGGATATGTTCACTATCTTGACTGTGGTGATGGTTCCCTGTTTGCATACATACATCAAAACTTTTTAAATGTGTGCAGTTTATTTGTATATCAGTTATACCTCAATAAAACTGTTTTTAAATTGGGATATAACTGATATGTAACATGTAAGCTTATGATGTACATCATGTTGATTTGATACATTTGTATATCACAACATGATCACCACTATTGTATTACTTAACACTTCTTTTTTTTAAAAAGATTTTATTTATTTATTGGAGAGACAGAGACGGAGAGAGAGAGAGAGCATGAGAGTGGGGAAGACCAGAGGGAGAAGCAGGCTCCCCACCCAACAGGGAGCCCAATGTGGGGCTCGATCCTGGGACTCCAGGATCATGACCTGAGCCAAAGGCAGTCGCTTAACCGACTGAGCCACCCAGGCGCCCATTACTTAACACTTCTATCCCATAATCATTATTTCTTTCTGTGGGGTGAAAACAATTAAGATCTAGTGTCTAGCCACTTTGAAGTTTATAATGCTAACAAATAGTGGAAAAGAAATCCAAAAGTGTGTGACAAAGTGTCTAAGCCAATAATTTACTTGCGTGGAGACAGAGAAGTGAAACTAAATATTTTCTATTCTGCTTATCTCCTAAATTTACTCAGTATTTCCCAAATTAATTTTTAGTATCGATCTGTCTGTAGCTTAGCCAATTTTTATCCTGTTGAGAAGTGTTCCCGCAGTTGAAGGGTAGGGACACATGACAAGGGCTTTAAATTAGAGGGAATGAGGGGAAAGGTGGGGTTATATTCTAAGACTAAGGTGGGGTTATATTCTAAGACTTTAGCCACTGGGATGAAACCTTATCCTTTGCATGCTTAAAGTGGAGGGAAGGTACCTATAGTTTTGTCAGAAGAGCCAAGTTTGAAGGTCTGAAAATGGAAGTTTGACCAGGTAAGTTCCAGTAGCAAAGGCAATTATGTACATTGTGGGAATCATCCCACAGCCTTTTGAGCTGCTGAGTTGGGGTGTTGGCACTGTCCGCATAGACCAAATCCTCACCGTCAGTCTTCTGGACCCCTGCATCTTAACTCCTCCCATTCAAACACACAGTTCATTGCTTGCCTCTGTTGACATTCACCACGATGATTGATTGGTAGTTAAGACCAGAGGGAAAAGGTTTGGTTTGGAACATGGCATAATGAGCAGGAGAGAGTAAAAGGAACAGTAAGGCACCTGTTCCTTATCTAACCCCTTCTGTTGGGTTTGAGCCCAGAGAGAGGGAAGACTGGAAACCTGAGCTGATGGAACGCTTCACAAGTTCCTTGGTGAGATTCTGCACATAAGGAGTTTGCTTTGGGCCATAAGTAACAAGGACACCTCAGCAACAAGGAGGAGACAACTCGTTCCCCACATCTGTGTAAACTCCAGGAGGGCCTAGTGGCCTGAGGATTAGTGTGTCTAACAGCATCCGGGCAGAGTACCTTCAGGCTGGGTGTGGGTGTTCAGTGATGGGCATTTTCATCAGTAGCATTGGTGAACAGCTAGAGTATCTCCGGGAGAACTAACTGAGTTGATTCTAAGTAGTGATGGCAGCTTAGAGTGTACATTCTGGGAGACTGCTAAATACGGTCCAAAATAATAGAGACCGTTTCAGACAAGTCTTAGGTCCTGCTATTAATAAGGAAAGGCCATGAGCTACTGTGATTTGGACACTAAAAATTACCATGATCTTATTTATTACCCAAAGCCTGGAGTTTCTTAGGTATTCAGATTACATCACTCAAGGACTCTGTAAAGTCTAATAGGGTGGGGACTGTGCCTTATTCATCCTTGTATCTTCCTTTCACTATGCCTAGGACAAAGGAGACTTTCACACAATTTTTGTTCAATGCTACAGGTTACGAAAGAAAGATAGAAGAGTGGAAGGAAGGAAGATCCCTCAAATACAGGTATCCCATCCATGATTAAAGAGAAAGTCTGGGGGTGTATGGGTGACTCAGTTCGTTAAGCGTCCAACTCTTGATATCGGCTCAGGTCATGATCTCAGGGTCATGAGATCAAGTCCTGCATTAGATTCTTCACTGAGCATGGAGCCTGCTTGGGATTCTTTCTCTCCTCCTCCCTCTCCCTCTGCCCCTCCCCCACTCACTCGTGCATGCATGCCTACACGAGTGCTCTCTATCTCTAAAAAAAAAAAAATGAGAAAATAAATAGACTAGTGCAGAGAGATAAATAAAATTGGGGATGCAAGGTGAGAGGGAGAGTTTGCAGTTTTTCTAATGGCTCTTCTTTGAATTATTTTTCAAAGAATAATAATTATTATTACTATCTTTTCTATGAATTACTTATATCAAAAACTCAGGTAGAATAACAAAAGATGAGAAAAGTAAATTATAAATCATAAAATAAGCTTCCCTCTAGATGCTTGAAACCATTGCTTAGCTGAGGAGGAGGAAGACATTTCCTGTCTCTAATTTTTTCACCAGCAACCCTGGTTTCCACTTGCCTATTTCTCAATGTGTGTACCTAGATATCATACCTGGTCACTGCCTCTACTCAACAACAGAAAATGGGAAGATGACATGAGCCAATGAAAGGAAAATAAAAGAACAAAAGAAGAAGTAGAGAGGGGAGTGGGGAAAATGAATGTTTCAGGAAGCCAGGACCTATTATGAAGGTATTTGTCGTTCCACATAGCTGCACAACACTGTCCCCACAGTAACACATATGAGGCCAGAATGTGTTTACAGGAAAGAAAAAAAGATGTGCCTTTCAACGGATGTACAAGATAAGGTCTAGAGACAACAGGATCCCCTGGAAATGGTGACCTCACAGGAAGACCTGCCTCAGAGGAGACAGTTTTGAGGTCTAGCTCCCTGAGTTACTGCCATGAGCACCTCTCCTGGGTCCTGCATATGGGTCTTCTTCATGCTCTCTCTGCCATGGGCACCAGACTCCTCTGCTGGGTGGTCATCTGGCTCCTGGGGGCAGGTGAGTTCTGGACTAACAGATCAGCATCACTGGGCTTTGTCTGTTTTATAGCTGTGTCTCAGATAGGCCCTGGACCTTCATGTTGCCCAACGATTTTCTGAAAGGTATTGACATTTGAATGAGAATGAATAATTGCATCATGGAGTGAAAAGTAAAATTCATGTGAATTTTTACATGAACACAGGAGACTTGAAAGATATTTGAGCTCACCTGGGGTTGCTGCCTTGTAAGGCATTCACTCCCTCCACCATTATGACTCTGTCTCACATAATCTCTTCTCCTCTGAGGTCCCATGAATGCTGGCGTCACCCAGAACCCGAGACGCCTGGTGAGAAGGACAGGACAAAAAGCAGCCCTGAGAAAGGACATAGTTATTTTTACTGGTATCAGCAGCCCCTGGGGGAAGGTCTGAAATTTATGGTTTACCTCCAGAATGAAAATACCGTAGACGACTCAGGAATGCCAAAAAAACGCTTTTCTACTGAATTTTCCAAAGAGGGACTCAGCATCTTAAAGATGCAGAGTCCCATCCTCCCAATGCACAAACATCTTCCAGGCCCCACCTCGGAAACCGCTGTGGGCTGGGGGAGGGGAGGGGACATGTGGTTTGATTAGAGAACAAATTAGCTAGAAAGCATTTTGCAGGGTGAGCATGGAAATAGGGGAGGGCTGTAGAAGTTTCATGGGACATCCCATCAGGAACTAAGACTGTCACCAGAAAAAGGTAAAGTGTTTTAAAACTGGACATTTGTCAGGTTAAATATTAATTGAGGAAAAGTTCTCTCTGCTCCACTTAATACTCTATTTCAAGTTCTCTATTACATGCCTTCAATGTAGAATTTCATTTAATCATCTAAGACAATCAAGCAAAGGAAATATTTTTTTTTTCATTTTCAACATGAGCAAAAGCAAATATGGTTCCAGGAGTTCATTTTCCTTTCTCAAACTCAGAGAGAGAGAGAGAGAGAGAGAGAGAGAATACAAACCCAGGTTTGTCTGGCTCAAATACTTGTGCTTTTTATACCAAGCTGTACTATCTCTTACTCTTTCTGGAATAATCCTGGCTTTGTCCCTTGCCTTGTGCCTATGCAGGCAAGGATGGATGCCAGGATGAAGAACTCCTGCTATAGGATCCTCAAAGGTGGTGGAAATAGAGTTGGATAGATTTGTCTGGAATTTAGGAGAAAGATGTGGCCCCAAAATATTTTTAATTAGAAACATATCACCTGGGGACGCCTGGGTGGTTCAGTCAGTTAAGCATCCCACTCTTGATCTCAGCTCAGGTCTTGATCTCAGGGTCATGAGTTCAAGCCCTGCATTGCACTCCATGCTGGGTGTGGAGTCTACTAAAAGAAAGAAAGAAAGAAAGAAAGAAAGAAAGAAAGAAAGAAAGAAAGAAAGAAAGAAAGAAAGAAAGAAAGAAAGAAAGAAAGAAA